AAAACGATTTTTCTGGCAAAATTCGGTGTAAATTTCCCCCACCCCTTTCCTCCGCTCTGTATTCACTTTCTGTGACAAGCAGGGGCACTGGGAAATAGCCCGTATGTTAACCTTGGAACGAAATCACTGATGAGTCATCCGCTGCCAAAACTGTCAGCTGTTTCGTTGCGAAGTTTGGTTAACAACAAATTGATAGCGAGTAAAATTCTCTGACATACAGCATTACCAACTTGACTTAATGGACCGAAACGTCTTATCTCGCTCTCACCTTCCTCAATCTACACTACTACTTTCTCCTAACTCCTTCACACTCTGCCATCTACAGTTCCAGGGTTAATCTGGAGGCTGCAGTCTGCTTACCATTGAAATTAATGAATAGGCCATAGAAAAAAAAGCTACCCCAATAAACGGAATCGAACCTTCGATCTCTTGCACCACAACAATACTACTTCCCACTTCGTCATGCCCTGCATGAGATTATGCATACCCCACGAATCCACACACACAACATCTCTCTCTCTCTTTCTGCCTTAATTTTCGATATGTTGCCCCGAACAACCACACGGGCCACAGTGCATCTATCGAGGTTCCGCTTTTATATTACAACCTTTTTATCTTTTCCAACTACTCTGAATTTACAATTAAAAAATTCTATTCCCTGTCTCCTTTTTTCTTTCTTCCTTCCTTATACTCCTTCTTTTTCTTTCTCTTCTCCGAACACCGCGACCGTCATACTGACGAGATCCAGTCGCGGTGTTGAGCTAAGACGTGTATGACTTAATGGACCGAAACATTTTGCCTCATTCGTTCTTCCCTCCATTTTCTTCTGTTTTCTGTCTTATACACCTTCCTCACTTTTACACCCTAGATCACCCTGGACGCTACAATCGACTAACTTCAGTACAAGTTTCATCCCTACAAATTCTATAAGGATTAGTGTGCTGACAAGCAATTCTGACGAGGAAAAGCTTACAGTTTGGAGCAAAATCGCTTCCCGGCAATCATTATTGGTGGAAGATGCATGTGATTTACATCATATCAAAGGATTTTTTCATCCCAGCGATAGCAACAATCATCATACCACGCGTCCATATGAGCCTTCAGACTTCCGCAATTTCGCGTAACCTAAAGAGAAGGTAACTAACTGGGATACCGAGTCGTAGGCCTTTTGGATGTCGACCCAAGCCATGCTCAGGGGTTTTTTCAATTGCGACATTGTGTCCAGCACCACTGCCGGGTCGAGAACGTGGGCATGAGTGCCGTTCCATTCCCCCCTGCGCATTACTCTCTGGTTGTCCAGGATCGCACTGCCCTTCTGGACATGATTCATGAGAGATTTATTCACAACACTGTTAACTAGCTTACAGGAAGTGTTGAGGCGGGTTATGGGCCGGTAATTTAGGTTAATGCTCGTCCTTACGTGTGTAGTTAAAGGCAAATTGAAATAGGAGGGTGGGAAAAATATGACAAGACTCTGGGGACCCGAAACTTCCTGGTGTATCGAAG